ACATTACCGTTTGGGCCTGGCGGCGCTCTTGAGGCTGCCGCCCGCCGGTCTGATCTGAACCATCGATCTTGACGGTTCAGGTCACGGCCAGGCCTCGCAGCATTGAGGCCGGCCTTCGCCCTACCAGTACTTAGAGACCGGCCGGCCTCACTTGGAGGCATCGAGTTACTGGACGCTGCGTGAGCGCCAGTCCGTTTCGGTTCCAGAGGAACAGTAGCGCTGTGCTATTCTCAGCGCAGCTCGGATGTGCCGCAGCAGCGCGGCTAGCGCAGCAGCAGCAGCGAGCGAGGAGCCAGGCAGCGGGCAGCCATAGCCGACTTCGGTTTTCAGCCCGCTGCAGCGAGCCAGGTACTCGGGAGCGAGGTCTTCTCCTCCCTCCACAGTCACTGGCTCCCCTCCTCCTCACCTCTCTCCTCCTCTGCCATCTCTCTTTCTTCTTCTTCTTCTTCAGACTTCTTCTTCTTCTCCAGACTTCTTCTTCTTCTTCCTCAGACTTCTTCTTCTTCTTCAGATTGGAGACTTGATACGAGTTGGACCGAGATCAGTGTTGGACTTCGGTGGTAAGAGGCTGTGGTACTTACCGGATTCGAGAGTTGGAGATTGTTGGGGTTGATACTCGGCGGCATCACAGATTGGACACCGGTTACATTAGGACTTTGTACCTCCGACACTGGTGACTTATCGTCCACGACATTTTGATCTTGTTCGATGACATTTTGGACTACCATATCGGTGACCTACTGGATTCCATCTCGGTGACATCTGGTGCTGCCTACATCTCCCACCTCCTTCGTCTCTCCTCCCACCTTTCATCTGTGTATGATTGTACGGGGCCTGAGCATCGTCTATGATTGGCTCAGACCCCACCATCTCACGATTGTTTGTGTGTTGAGTGATATCTGTACGAGTCAGTCTATGTGAGTCAGTCCATTTGTCAGACTTCCGCTGCATACATGCTCATCCTATATTGGTTGATCTCTTGGTTCTGCCCATACTCGTTAAGAATTGACGAGTATGCAACACCCGCCCACCCAGATGTCTCCTTTTTCTTGTTTTCTTGTTTTGTGAGTTTCACGGCCACAACTTTTCTTCTTCGTCTTCTTTTTTTTTTTTTCCCTTCCCGTGAGAGTACCATAAAGAAAATCGAGTGGGGTCGGCAAAAACAGGCTCGGAGGTACTAGTGGTTTATCTCGCACCAATCAAGGCTGTCCACCCTGCCGGACGGCCTGGATCGTCGCGCGATCTTTAAGTCTTAAAGTCTTAAGATCGCGTGGAAATCTGGACCGTCGGGCCGGTAGGACCTCGGGCAGTCCGGATCGGCCAACTCGCACGTTAGCAAGTGTAGGGATGTTACTGATTGTAAGCTGTCAACACCACATTGTGCAATAATGCCCTACTTGTCAACACCCCTGTGTTCCAAAATGCCCCACTTGCAACAACCCTGTCCAGGTAGTTACAGGTCATAAACAGGCTACAGGTGTAAACTGACATCCTAGCTCCCTGGTTGGCTATCCAGGTGATTACAGGCAATTAGTTGATAAAAATTTCAAACATGTACCAATGGGCCTCGAGCTCAGTTCGTACACCCATGATCTGTTGGAAGTACGACTTCAAACTACTAGAATGAAATTAAATTAAACACTAACAATTTACCTGGGGCCGGTCAGTTCGATGAAATTAAAATTAAACACTTCCAAATTACCTAGGGCCAGTCAGTTACCTGGAGCAGGTCAAACTCCTGGAAAACAAATTCCAGTACCTTATTTAGCAAATTCAAAACTGCCAGTCTCTTTCCAGCTATTTTGTTCAAAACGACCGTTAAACCCCCACGTAAACAGGGGTGTGGGCTACAGAACCAAGATGGCTGGCAATTCCAAGCCTAAAGAACATACATGATGCCGATGTCGGGTCGTTTTTCTTTCATGCATCTGGAAAAGAGCCTAGGAGGGACTTGCTCGTTTAAGCTGACAACATAACAAATTGATTCTGGCATGCCTCTGACATCAGAACATGAGCAACATCAGAGGACGCACCTTGTGACACTTACCGGAGCATCAAGAACTGTGTATCGTCTATTTTCAGTCTCAAAATAGGCTCGTCCAACCTCCACGGTTTTCCCCTTAACTCAGGAGAGCAACACACAAACGCACAAACAGAACGAACATGTTAGCCACCTTCGCAACCTAACTGGCAACAAGTATTCATCCAGGCTCTTCTTTTCCTTTTCCTAAACAACTATCGTCTTCACCTGGTCATTATTGCTGTATTTGAGTCAAGTTCCAGTCCAGATACAACGATAAGGACTAGGCGTTTTATTCGGGTGACTACAATAGGCAAGCGGAGAGGGAGAAACGGGGATCAAACGTCTAGGAAGACCAAGAGCCAGCCCAAGAAACGCGGATCAAACGTCTAGGAGACCAAGAACCAGTCCAATAAAGGCATTTCATCAACAGCATTCTCCGAATTGACAATCCCAGCACAACTCTCTTCACACAGAAAGATTGAGCTTAAAAAATTGCAACCAGGATTTGCTCTACCCATTGTCATCAGACGAATTCGTTGCCGAAGGACAGATTGTCAAACCTTCATTATGGAAAATAGGAACCAACCTTAGCACGCTCTTCTTCATTTGTGTCCATGATATACGACATGTACCTGTAAAATCATCAGGGGAGCACAAAGAGAACCAGCTGTTGGACATGCCGGAGAAGCCATAGGACCACACACTCAAAATTCCAGAAACAACATCACCAGCCACATTGTTGAGCAAACTAGTGCTACCACTTAATGACTCTACGGCTCACCGCATTGAACTGGCAGAATTCACTTCGACCTTCCTTGGCACCTTTACATTGCCTGCTAAGACCTGTGACTTCAAGAGAAGCATTGGTCCAAAGAACAGGCCAAAATTTGGCAAAGGTCGTAAGGAACTCATGTCAACGGAGTTCCTCCACACTCATGCCAACACACCGTGAAACAGAGAGCTCCATTTGAAAAATTCAACGAGCAGCAAAACTGACCAGCACCATAAAACCAGACCTCTCTCTCTCTCTCTCTCTCTCTCTCTCTCTCTCTCTCTCTCTCTCTCTCTCTCTCTCTCTCTCTCTCTCTCT